GCCCCAAGACGGCCGAAGAGAGCCCCAAGACGAGTTCGAGAGGGGTCCCAGACGGAGAAAGCCAACCTCGAATTCCGAGCTTCCGGCCCAAGAGGCTCCAGGAGGCGCCAAAATGCCGCCAAGAGGCGCCAAAAGGCTCCCAAAAGCACCCCAAGACGTTCCGAGAGGCACCCCAAGAGAGGTCCAAGAAACAAAAATCGTGCCATTCCTATGGGAAAACGTATATTTTTCGCATGTTCGCATCTTGGGCTTTCACCGCGTCCAAGACGGCCCAAGAGGCCTCCAAGACGGCCTAGGAGGCCTCCGGGAGCGCTCCAAGGCTGCGCACGAGTGGCTCAGGACGGCCCCAAGACGGCCCAAGAGAACCCCAAGACGACTTCGAGAGGGGTCCCAGAAGGAGAAAGCCACTCTCGAATTCCGAGCTTCCGGCCCAACATATCCCAGGAGGCGCCAAAACGCCGCCCAGAGGCGCCAAAAGGCTTCCAAAATCAGCCCAAGACGTTCCGAGAGGCACCCCAAGAGAGGTCCAAGAAACAAAAATCGTGCCATTCCTATGGGAAAACGTATATGTTTCGCATGTTCGCATCTTGGGCTTTCACCGCGTCCAAGACGGCCCAAGAGGCCTCCAAGACCGCCCCAAGACGGCCCAAGAAGCTTCCAAGAGGGCCCCAGGACAGCCCAAGAGGGCCCCAAGACGGCCCAAGAGGCGCCCAAGATGGCCCAAGAGGGCCCCAAGACGGGCCCAAGAGGGGGCCCAGAGGGGGACCACGAACCGCAAGCTCGAGCCTTCCGCCCCAAGAGGCCGCCAGGAGGCCCCAAGGAGGCCCCTCAAGAGGCCCCAGGAGACCCCCAAGAGGCCCAAAGGAGGCCCCGAGAAGCCCCAAATCGGCCCCCAAAATGCTTCGAACCTGCTTCCAGGAGGCCCCCGACAGGTTCAGAGGCTCCCGAGAAGCTACGTCAAACTCCCAGCGAGCGGCCGGACGAGGCCCCCCACAAAATCACAAGAGGGTTCCAGTATTTGTATCCTTCAGCGCTCTCTGGCCTTCTTCCCCCTGCCCCCTTCCCTGCGACTTTCGTTGACTCAAGCTCGCCTCCTAGCTTAGAACCTAAGCGCGCGCGAAGCGCGCGCGTGGTTCTAGTTTATATGTACATCTGTATACACACAAACTAGTTTACACATGTTCTATATGTACATGGGGTGGTTGAAAACATAGCCCAGCATTCTTTTCATATATGTATATATATATATAATCATATCTGTATGCAGATATTTGTATCTTCGCATATTGTTATAGATGTTCAGGTGTTTTGCTGTCCGATTTATTCAGAGGTCGAACGTAAACAGCTATATAGATACATCCTTTGAACCAATTAATCTCACGTGTGCCATGTAGAAATGTATTGAATGTACTGCGGCTTCCTGCCTGGCCGAGCCGCCGGCCAGCCTCAAGCCCATCATGAGTAGTTGTAATCACACAATTCATATACACGGATGGGTTATATACTTGAATTCACGGTTGCGCTTGAGCTCGCCGCATTTTCGCCAGAGGGGCGGTCGAAATACATTGAAATATGAATACGTCAAGCAACATATCAATGTACATTTGTTGACTTGGTGTGTTGAACGGTTCCCAGGGCCGAACTTGGCAAGGAGGAGGCGACAGGCAGCGGCGGTGGTGGAGGTGGAGGATGCACAGTTGCATAATTATCCCGGCAAAGCAACCTAACAGCGATGTGTAGGAGCATATCTGGAAGCATTCCCCTTAAGATTCAGATAAGCATCCTGTTGTAGAATTCTGCTGTTCTCGCAGTCGTGGTCGCATTCGCGATGGCAGTCGCAGTGGCAACAGCAGTCGCAGTCACAGCCTCAGCCTCAGCCTGCCTCAGCCTCAGCCTCAGCCTGCCTCAGCCTCAGCCTGCCTCAGCCTCGCCCTCAGCCTGCTTCAGCCTCAACATCAGTCTGCCTTCAGCCTCGGCCTCAGCCTGCCTCAGCCTCACCCTCAGCCTGCATCAGCCTCAGCCTGCCTCAGCCTCGCCCTCAGCCTGCTTCAGCCTCAACATCAGTCTGCCTTCAGCCTCGGCCTCAGCCTGCCTCAGCCTCAGCCTGCATCAGCCTCAGCCTCAGCCTCAGCCTGCCTCAGCATCAGCCTGCCTCAGCCTCAGCCTCAGCCTGCCTCTGCCTCAGCCTCAGCCTGCTTCAGCCTCAGCCTCAGTCTGCCGTCGGCCTCGGCCTCAGCCTCAGCCTGCCTCACCCTCAGCCTGCATCAGCCTCAGCCTCAGCCTCAGCCTGCCTCAGCATCAGCCTGCCTCAGCCTCAGCCTCAGCCTCAGCCTGCCTCAGCCTCAGCCTCAGCCTGCTTCAGCCTCAGCCTGAGTTTGCCTGCAGCCTCGGCCTCAGCCTCAGCCTGCCTCAGCCTGCCTCAGCCTCAGCCTCAGCCTCAGCCTGCCTCAGCCTCAACCTGCCTCAGCCTCAGCCTCAGCCTGCCTCAGCCTCAGCCTCAGCCTGCTTCAGCCTCAGCCTCAGTCTGCCTTCAGCCTCGGCCTCAGCCTCAGCCTGCCTCAGCCTCAGCCTGCATCAGCCTCAGCCTCAGCCTCAGCCTGCCTCAGCATCAGCCTGCCTCAGCCTCAGCCTCAGCCTGCCTCAGCCTCAGCCTCAGCCTGCAGCCTCAGCCTCAGCCTCAGTCAGCCTGCCTTCAGCCTCGGCCTCAGCCTCAGCCTGCCTCAGCCTCAGCCTGCAGCCTCAGCCTGCATCAGCCTCAGCCTCAGCCTCAGCCTGCCTCAGCATCAGCCTGCCTCAGCCTCAGCCTCAGCCTGCCTCAGCCTCAGCCTCCCTGCTCAGCCTCAGCCTCAGTCTGCCTTCAGCCTCGGCCTCAGCCTCAGCCTGCCTCAGCCTCAGCCTGCCTCAGCCTCAGCCTCAGCCTCAGCCTGCCTCAGCCTCAGCCTGCCTCAGCCTCAGCCTCAGCCTGCCTCAGCCTCAGCCTCAGCCTGCTTCAGCCTCAGCCTCAGTCTGCCTTCAGCCTCGGCCTCAGCCTCAGCCTGCCTCAGCCTCAGCCTGCATCAGCCTCAGCCTCAGCCTCAGCCTCAGCCTGCCTCAGCCTCAGCCTCAGCCTGCCTCAGCCTCAGCCTCAGCCTGCTTCAGCCTCAGCCTCAGTCTGCCTTCAGCCTCGTCCTCAGCTTCAGTCTGCCTTCAGCCTCAGCCTGCCTCAGCCTCAGCATCAGCCTGCCTCAGCATTCAAAGTGTGGCCCGGGAATGGAGTTCTGGGAACTCGAAGAACACGAAATGGCCTACAGTTGGCTCCGGGCATTCAAAATCATGCCCAGGAATGGAGTTCTGGGAACTCGAACACCACGAAGTGGCCTACAGTTGGCTCCGGGCATTCAAAATCATGCCCAGGAATGGAGTTCTGGGAACTCGAAGACCACGAAGTGGCCTACAGTTGGCTCCGGGCATTCAAAATGTGGCCCGGGAATGGAGTTCTGGGAAGTCGAAGAGCACGAAGTGGCCTACAGTTGGCTCCGGGCATTCAGAATGTGGCCCGGGAATGGAGTTCTGGGAGGTCGAAGAGCACGAAGTGTGTGACTGTATGCGAAAAACGATCCCCCCCGGCAAACCCCAACGGCCCCCCAACGCTCCCCAACGGCTGCCCAGACCCCCCTGTGGAGTAATGTGCTGCTCTCTTTTTAAGTCTATTAGAAACCTATCAGTCTTCGCTGTTAGGTCATAAATCACATTGCCCCCGTCCTGGCGGACGTCATGGAATTTCGTGGCTGTCAATGCATCGTCGTGGCCGTCTCGCTTTCCTCGCTCCACTGCATGATCGGTGAACTTTTTCCTTTCCGTGTCATTGTTGGCGGCTGTTTGTCGAGTGTACGACATGGACGATACAGCATGAATGTCGACATGAGGAATAGACACATTGTGTTCGGAAGGTGATGTGGCTTTGAGATGTCTCATTACTACGTCTTGAACGTCCAACAGAACACCTCCACCCAGTTTGGGGAGAAGCATAACTCCGTTCCAAGTCTTACGTTTCTTCTGAAAATATTTCGGTTGCAACGTCCGAACGGATTCCGGACTGGGGCCCAGTGCAGATTTCGATTGCAATTACACCCCGAAGTTACCGGGCTCGATTTAGGACCGATTCGAGGTCCTGGGGCGCCAGGCAATTGTCGACGTTGGATGTTCGATGTTGTTTAGTTTAGCGGCTTGCTCCATTCCGCCGACCCCCAGAAGAGGAGATCTGCGGCTCCCGATGTCGTATATGGTTTGCCGTGTTTGTTCGCGTTTTGTGCATGTATTGTTGTTGATTAGTCCTTGTCTTCCTCCGCATCTGTCGCGTGGATTTTTTGGGGCATCCCGGAAGCCTTGAGGGCGGCTTTTGGGGAGCCTTTCCAAACATTTTCTGTGCCTTCTGGAGGCTTCTTGGGGGCCTCGTGGGACATGTTTGCGGTCTTGGGGGCCATCGTGTTCGAAATGACTTCCAGGGCCTTTGCGAGTTGCATTTGTGGTTGTCTTGGGAGCATCCTTTTCTTTTCTGACCATGCTCGATTGCGCTTATCGCATGAATATGTCCCATCTTCGTGCTGGCTTCTAGGAAGCGGGAAGTTGGCCTGGTGCCCCAGTCCACTGCAAATTCTCGCGAGTCTTGCCCAGCGTTTGCTCAACAGGTTAAACGAAGCCAGCGGGCCTAGGCATCGCAGGCGAATTGTGTTCTCAACCCCAGACTTCCGAAGATTCCTTCTTTTGTCGATGACCGCCGGCCCCGGTGGCTCGCCAGCGTCTTCCCAGGGGTCAGTTTTTCATCGTGGGTCGATTGCCGATGGCCCAATGGCTCGAAATGAGCTTACAGAGCACAAGGATGACTTCCAACAAAAACGGTCACCACGAAGCGACTTCTGTTCGAGGCGGAGGTCGTCTTGGAAGTGTTCTCAGTGGTCGCGTCGGCTGCACCCTACCACGCGCCGCCGCCGTGCCCGCGTCGCCAAGCGGCGAGCAGCGAGGTCGGCAAGGCGTGGTCGAAGGTCCTCGTGGTGTTCTTTCTCGTCGCAGAGGCCCCGCCCCCCGCGCCACTCCCAAGCCAGAGAGGCGAGGGGGTTGTGGATGATTTGGGAGGCCGAGGGGGTGGGGTGGGAAACAAGGGGTGGGCGGAAGCCGAGAAAACCAACTGTGTGCAGCTGATTCGCAAACACCCCCTGTGCTGTCGCCCTTGAAGATGGGGGGGAGGGTACGGGGGAGGGACATGGTCGACGATGGCGAGCTCTTCAGCGTTTTCGTCCTAGGGGTCACAAGGTCGTGGACGTGCCTGGATGCATCTGTGGACTCCTGGGGACCCAGACCACTGGCGGCTCGAACATCTTGATAAAGACCAGCATGTGACAGTGAACATTGATGAACCCATCCTAGTGCTTGAAAGTATCGAAGATGCCTACTGCGAGCCACCGCCGCCCCTTGTCTTGTTGGAACGCCAATGCGATTCAACGCTGGGGCGTAATCTTAAAACTATTGGACCATGTGCTCCTCGCGCCTTTGCAGAGACGCTTGGGGGCACATCTGGGGGGGAGACCGGAGGAGAGGGACGAGAAGGAGGAGGAGGAGGAGGATGTAGAGGAGGAAGAGGAGGAAGAGGAGAAGGCTTCTTGGGTGCGTCTTGGGGTCTTCTGAGGGCTTCCAGGGGGCTTCCAGGGGTTCTCCAAGGCCTCCAGGTAGCCTGTGGGGGCATCTGGGTGCCTATAAAGAGCTCCAGCTCATCCCCCGTCCCCCACTCCTCTATCTTGGCCTCGGACCCCTCCCCTCCACTCTCGCCTTTCGCCCAGGCCGTCGTCACGTTTTTCTTCTTCGACGACATCCTCTTGATGACTGCTGCTACCCGAAGGGGGGCAACGGCAGCAAAGCCAGCACGGGGCACAATGTGTCAGGTGTGATGAGGGGAACGCGGAGGGGGCGATCTGGCTGTTGTTGAGTGACTGCCGCCGAGAACGCCGCATGCAGTCCCCTGCCTCTGAGTGATAGCTCCTCTCTCGCCGAAGGACATGCGAATACGAGGAGGAACCAACTGGCATCACCCTGAAGATCAGCAGCGCTTCGTAATTACTCGCGTATGCGTTGCGCGGCTGCCGCCAGAAGGGCTCCACTCGCTCCGTGGAAGCTTGCGAATATGACAAGGGCGACGCCATTTCCTGCGAACGTGTGGGGCCGATTTCGGTAAGTGGGCGGCCGGTTTCTTGGCTTTCCGAGATTGTGTGGACGTGGGGGGAGTTGGACCTTCCAAGCTCCATGTCTCCAGGTTCCCCGTTACGAGTTCTCGGGCCCTTGGGCGCATGCTAGCTAAAGAGGGGCGAGAGAGAGAGAGAGTATGATGTAACATGTAGATGGAGTTCGGGGTAGAGAGCTGTGAGCTGATATATATATATATATATATATATATATATATATATATATATACAGTGGCACGTGTGTGCCCAGGCTCATAAGCAGGAGTGAAATGCAACAGCGAAGTCGCACTCGAGCGCAAGTGGGGTTGCCACACCTTGCGATGTGTGTGCCAGGGCCCCCCAGGAAGCCTCAGGAGGCCCGACTTGGATACCAGAAGAAGCTCCAGGAGGCCCCAGGATTGTGAGTGTTGTGTGTGATGTGTGCTCTGTGTTGTGCGTGCTTGTTGTGCGTTGCAGGTGTTGTGCGTGTTATGTTTGTCTAGCGTGTGATGTGTTGGGCGTGATTTGTGTCTCTGTGTGTGCATGTAGTTCTGAGGCCCCAGGAGGCCCCCAGGCGGCCTCAGGAAGCCCCAGGAGACCCCAGGAGGCTTCAGGAGGCCCCAAGAGGCTCCAGGAGGCAGGAGGCCCCAGGAGGTTTCAGGAGACCCCCAGGAGGCTCCGAGGCGGGGTCTGGGGCACAGGAAGGTTCAGAAAACCCCAGGAGGTTGCAGGAGGCCCCCAGGAGGCTCCGAGGCGGGGTCTGGGGTACCAGAGGGTACGTCGGGGTTCGATGTTGGTAGGATGTTTCAGGCGAAACCGCCATTATCTGAGACTCGGTGTCGCAATTATTGAAATTACCATGTGTGTTTGAAGGCTTTCTGTTCACATGTTGAAATTTCCATGTGTGTTTGGATCCTGACGTCACGATCTGCGTGAGGGGTGCCACGATTTCCCTAATTTCGAGGATGTCCCTAGCGAAACGGCCAGAAACATCGCGGACGCGGCGCCCCGCGTACGCATCAATCGCCTCTGAGCTTTACTCCCTCGGAGAGGTGCGACTGATATATGTGTATATATATATATATGTAGATACACATGTATATGTAGAGAGAGAGAGAGCAACTAATAGAGGGCAAATAGCTGGAAATAGAGAGATCGGGGATGAGAGCAAGAGCGTGCTGACTAGATCGGAACGAAATCTTAGAACATGAAGATTTCATTGACACCTCATAACGAGCAATGGTAGTAGAGAGTGGGCATATTACTTCACGTCATGGCGGATGAATTCAAAAGGTTGGACATACCTCTTGTTGTCACACGACTACTGCATGAAGCTTTGTTTGCCGCCAATGCGTTCACATGTTTACAACGAGGTGTCTCCCTGCAGCGCCCTGTTTGGACGGCAGCCAGCAATGCTGCCCGACTTGCGTGTTATGGATCACGAACAGCAGACAAAGACGCCCGATCACTCTCGAGAACAGGTGATCCGCCGGGCATGCAGTGAGGCTATCGCACAAACTATTGCAGTAGCGAAAACCACTCGTGCAATACGTACTAAGACGACTATCGTTGGCCAACACTACTACGACGAAGGTGACCTGGTCGACTATCATCGTCCCACGACTATGAAGGGCGACTGGGAAGGCTGGAGTGGCCTTTTCTCGGTCGTACGGAACGATCCCGACATGGGCCAAGCTATTATCCGAGTGGGAAACCGCGATGTACAAGTCCAATCGGCGACGCACGACGTTCACTATACATCGAAGTTTTGATCGCCCGAAAGATTGGCTCAGGCAACACTGCGCTGCGGACAGTGCTGACATTCGTCGCCAGTCTATATGCGGGGAGACCTGCTATGACATTTGGCTGCGTCCCTAATGACCAAAAAGGGAACGCTTCAGATGACAAGTGCGAAACGACTATATCCTAAGGTATCTTTAGCTCTCCATTACTTTCATAGGAACTTCTTTCGCATCGAGGCCGTAGTCTCTGTCAGATTAGGTAAGAGTATTCACAAGCTACCCCCGGTGGCTTATACTGACAGCTGTACATCGGTGCATTATGAGAGCGACGTGGTATCAGGGTTCCACTACGATGGAGTCGAAGGCACTGCCCTGAATGTGCATGACAGAACCAGATCAGCACATTCTAGGATCATCCACTGCCTAAAGTTACTAAACCTCAAGCTGGCTTCGACCAAGACGTGACGAAGTTTGAGGAACGAGCAGACGCACCGACACAAGACAACAACGCCAGAGAAGCTCCAGAGGCCGAACCACCGCAGGAGGACGGATGGCTTCCTACGGTCTACTAGGAATCGGAAGCGGACCTTGAGGCACATGTCATGGAAGTGCGGTGCACAGGGCTACAGGAAGAAAGCGAATTACTGGAGGCAGCTCCATTAGATGACCTTTACACAGTACCCACACAAACTATCACTGACAACAGTGTGCTAGTTACGGCAGCTGAAGAACAGCGGGGGCACTTGCCTACGTGGGGCTATCCACGCGACTCCGACATCGCGGATACATATCATGTCCCATTATGTTCCACGAGCGAAGATTCTATTTACGGATTGGATTCGGCCGAAAAGTGCCTATATATATATATATATATATATATATATATATCGAACTCTGCTTCAGCGCAGGCATGGCAAAGGTGGTCCCTGCTTCCGCGCAACCACAATGCGAGTATATGTGACCGCTGCCGCAAAGCGAGCTGCGGTTGCCAGAGAGGACGACCTCCTCGCGAAGGCCAGTATTCAGGCGAACCCAGTCAAGGTATCAAAGGCCCTATGCACGGAACTCAAGACACGGTTTAACAACGAGTGTTTCAAGATGCGAGATTATAGGAAAGGCGCCAAACATCATCACGTCGAGGTACGTATATAAGTAGATGTTCACAAAGAACGAAAAGGGCGAGATGGAACGGGCCATCAGAATAAACCTTGTTCTTCGGGGTTTCTTAGACCTTGAGGCTCGACGTGGAAACATTCTCAGGGGCGGCGCGGCGGTCGAGTCAGCGGCTCGCAAGCGCAGCAACGTGCAAAACGCCCGGTTCGTTTTACGCTGCCGCTTGGATCAGCATCTGCGCTTCGATCCTCCACGATGACTCCAAGCACTGTTTCCAGCGCCTCGAGCTAGGTACCGGCACCAAGGATGCACCCAGGGAGTTCTCACTGAGGGTCAGAAAGACCACGAGGGGCTTCGGTCTCAGACCCACGTCGTACGACGAGTATTTCGAGACAAGCAGTGACCTTCTCACAGCCAAGCACGTTGAAGATATCACTACGGCCGGCACTGAGGACACCGTTGACAGTTGCGCCAAGTGCGTTGATGATACTTTTGGCGAATGTAAATTGAACAAACATACATCTACCAATTGTGTCGTGAGGTTAACCACGGATGGGGGCGGCAACGTTACATTGGATCAAGATGAATACATCAAACAGCTCCGTCCCATGCGACATCCTGAACTCACGGGCGCAGACGCTGACGCCAGAGCGTCAAATATGGTTACTGACATGTTTGTCAGCCTCAGAGGCGCGCTGGCTTACACGTTAATCACACAGGTGTGGTTGATGATATATGTTGTTTCTCTACAGCGTGTCCACGAACCGACCGACATACAGGTGCGACGACTGAACGCGATTGCCAGAGAGCCGCAGGCCTGCCCCAAGAAGATCATCTAGTGACCGATGACCCCAGCGGGCGAAGTTGACCTGCACAGCGACTGCGGCTATCGACGCTTGAGTGGAGATGCCGATGGCGAGGTCAAAGGCCATGGTATTCGCGGGGCAGACCTGCCACGGAGTGGAAACGCGCCAACGGGCGCGCTGGCCGCCCACCTGACCGATGCGCGCTGCAAGTCTCATCACTTGCAGGCCCGCTCAAGCTATTTAGCAGAAACACGTAGCAGCAGCCCACAATCTGGAGGATCGTTATCCAACGATCGCTACTCTGCACGAACTCCACGCAGGACCATTGCCACCCACTCAGTTGAAGGATCTAGTGGAGATGGGTGGCCTGAGCATTAAGGTCGCTTTGACCAGAGATGCCGAATATGTCTTCAAGCCCTTGTCACGCAAAGGCCCGAAGGAGCCGACTGAGTGTATTCTTTTCGGGCACATCAGTTGGATGCGACAGATGATGGAGCGAGGCATCGCGCATAGTATCCAGTGGTGCGACACTCGCGACACGACCGCGGACGGTCGCGCAAAAAGGATCACCGGCCGAGATATGTTCCGACATGTCACGGGAGACGCGCAATCTTTCAAACGTGACTTAAAACGTCATACTCCGCACCGGGCTGGCCAGACAACGTCGTCTGAGGCTGCCTGAGGGGCGCTCGCTAGCACGGCGATCTGCTCGCAGGGCAACTTGCGTGCGAGGGCAATTGCGCGCGGACCCACCTTCCTTGCGAACCTGCTGTTTGTTGCCTTTTGCATGCGTAGCGTCTGCTGCATAGCGGGCGGCGGACTCACGCTTCGCCCCCCCCCCCCCCCCCCTTGTCAGTGCACGGATCTCAGCCTTTCGCTTCGAGATGTCCTCGCAATCTGAAAGGGGCCTTGAGCCTATGTCCACGAACGCGCCCCAAAGACGAGTCCAGGATGCTCTCAGGGTCGGCGGAGGGCACGTAGTGGCGGAAGATTGGCGGGATGGCGAGAAGAGAAAATAGATATTCCGTTTTATAATCAACCCAGGAAATCGCGTCTGGCCCCCCTGGGC